CATCTGTGAAGCAGTCATTTGCTCAGAGCAATGTACAGTGGCAGTAATTTTTGTTGCTCCAGTCCCTTTACAGTGTACGTTTCTGAACTACAGAAAAGTACAAAATGTTTCCATCTTAAATGCTGGATTTCAGCTCCCTGAAGTGGTATTTACTTGTACAGTATCATGTGTGTACAGACTCTGATTTCACTTAAGAGCTAGTGATTTAGCAAGTATCAGGTTTCACACTGGTATGAACTAGTACATTCAAGTCATTTGAATAACTGTCAAAACTTCAGATATGAAGAGAATTTTTAAAGTGGGTTAGACTAAAATAAAGCATTTAACTAATGCTTTATGATTGCTACCTATCAAACCACAAACTAAAAGGCAATAGATCATTGAGATTAAATTCTGTTAAAGCTTTGCTGTGTACAWACTCAGGACTATGAAAACCAATCACTTTGCTCTAAAACATTTTCTGGTTTCCAGTTCAAAATATAGTTATAAAAAGTTCAAACCCTATAAATTAAGTCTGTGTGTGGGTTCTCCTCACTCTGTCCCCTGCTCCTGGGTATATGAACAGCATATGAGAGGATCCTGCCCTTATTGGAAGCTTTTCCTTTAGCTTTGTTTGGCCCATCAGCTGTGGATTTGTCCAAAATCAGGCTGGAAAAAACTGCAGAGGTTACTTAACCCAGCCCCAGCCCTAAGGCAGGATTGGTCATGCCTAGACAAATGCTTGTCAAAATGGTTTAACCTGTTCTTAAAAGCCTTATGTGATGGGATTCCTTTTCTGCCCCTATTTCATTTCAGTGTGTGACTGTCCTTGCTCTGAGGGGGTCTGTAGCTTCTGAGCGTAAATGACCATTTTTTGTCTTACTTATTGCTTTAAAGTTACATCAACTGGTAATAATCTGGGCCCTCTCATTAAAGAATCACCAGTCTGCTTTTACATTAAAGGAGGTGCTGTCCTTACCCTGTTCTCTTACGCCTGTTTTACAGGATACCACCTCTTGTTCAGATTGGGCATAAACGTGATTGTGCAGTGGATTTGGGCTAGCTAGAGTTGTCTTACGCCTAAGAAGTCTTTTGTCTACAAACACTTTGTTCATGATCTGGTGTTTGAGCAGGTGCTGGGAATCCCGATTTGGAGGAAGGTCTGTGCACAGGGAATGAACAGCTGCAGGGTCGGGAGGAAGGTGAACAACCCGCCAGCTTTGGTCCCTCTGCTTTGCTTGTGTCCCATTTGTTTGGGTTCCCGTGTTTCCCCCGGGTGTTTTGGGGTCCCGCTCGCTTGATCTCACCTCCCTGCTCAGGTGCCCAGCCCACAGCTTCCTGCCYCCTTCCTTGAGAAGCTTCTGTGGGGGAGGATTCAAGTTCAAATTGTGTTCTGTCAATTATTTTTATTGATTATTTTATTATCCTCATTCTAACTGATGGAAATGCTGGCGCTGTGTTTGAAGATGTGTATARCCTGGGCACCCCATTGGTAATAGCTGTAGGTACATGAGATTTTTTTGTCCTGCATCCCAAACCTGTAGTTTTTGTTTCCCTTGACTCCTACTGCAGTCCTTGCGCCCCAAACTATCTTCGGCTTTTTTTTTTTATTCCCAATTCAGTATTTTAAAAATCTCAGCCACTTGTAGACATTCCCAACCTCGGGTTTAAGGGCGGATGTTGCATTTGGAAATGACAGAAATACAGCAGGTCATGTGCACCCACAGATGGAACAAGCAGATAGTGGGGGAAGAGGAAAAGCTCTTAGCRGTGTGTAGAGATACCTGGAGGGGGAAGAAGAGGACAGAAGATAGGGCTGGGCTCTTCTCAGTGCTCCTAAGTGACAGGGCAAGAGGAACAGATTGGGCAAGAGGAACAGATTCAATCTGGGGACAGATTGAAATGGGAAATTTGATCTGAGCATAAGAATAAAAATATTCACTGTGAGAGCAGACAGGCACTGGAATGGGTTCCCCCGGGAGGTTGTAGAGTCTCCTTCCTGAGGATACTCGGAGCTCGACAGGAGTAAGTCCTGAGTTACCTGCTCGAGCTGTTCCTGCTTTGAGATTGGGCTCGATGATCTCCAGAAGCACCTTCCAACCTCCGAGATTCTGTGATCTGCATCACATCTGTGATTTCACTGTGTCACTGCCTTTTCTTTCCTCTGCTTTTGTTTGACCTTGCAGCTCTTCAGTACCTGCTCCCGGTGCTGCTGCCTCGGAGTGATGAGTTTCCCTGCACTCCCAGCCTGTTTCTGAGGTCCTTGAGAAACTGAGTTCTTCCTGGGGCTTTTATCCTTTCCCTCTTGCTGCCTAGGGCTACTGTAAGGCTGCGCTTAGAGTTTTGAGCTTGGAGATTGTTGCTGTCCTGCAGTTCCTGCATAGTGGGAATTAGTTCCCTAGATTAGTGTTCCCAAGAGGGATGTGGGTTACATTTGCCCCCCTGGGCCTGTTTGACAAAAGTGCCAACCACATCCAGGGTACAGGAGATCAAGCTCATACTTGTGCTTCAGCACGAGGCACTTCAGCCTCGAAGACGACTTTCCTAGTGTACAGCACAGGGACTGTAGTCTGTGTAAAGGAGTCTTTACAGCTGTGTATTGCTGATGATCTAGAAGGAGAATTTGGGAGGAAAAATGTAGACTATGAACTGTGCAAAAATGGAGGGTTTATGCCACTCTTTYACAGCATTTCGAAGCAGAAAATTTCACTTCCTGTGTAGACATGCTTGAATTTTCCTATAAGGCACCTGCCCTTCAAGGATTGCTGCTGTGGCACTTCATGGAGCAGGACTGTGGCCATTGTGGCTTCTGCATCTGGATTTCTAAGTGGCTGGGAGCTGCTCTCAGTCTGCAGGAGGGTCACGCTGCTTCAGGGGACTGCAAATGTAAAAGCATTCAACATGCACGATGCCAAATGCTTTCCTGGCCTGCCTTCCTGCTGCATTCAATTAAAAAAATGTTGTAAAAGTCATAACTCAATAAACAGTCCCAGGGAAGAGTGTTTTGAAGAGTGTTTCCTCAAAGGTGATACGAGTGAGTTGCTATAACCAAGAGTGGATAGGAAGAGTCTGTGTACGTGTCAGCACTGAAATGTGGGTAATTGAAGTTCTGCACTCAGGGTAAAATGAGAACACATGTGGGGGCACAGGCGGCTTGCACAACACAGTGGAAAAGCATGTACAAAAACACTGGACCACTGGATTTAAACAGAAAAAGATCTTCAAGATCTTCCTGGTTTGCTGTGTCCTGCCCCTCAGGGGGTTGTGTCATAGAGGAGCAACTGTTTAACCAGGAGCTACCAGACCTTGATCAGTCTGAGTGTCAGTGTTTGCTGGTCGAGCACGTGCTTACCTCAGTAGGGTTCCTAAGACTTCACAGGCTGCTCAGTAGTTACTATATGTTGCCTGAATAWATATTTAGATTTTTTTTAATGCCTTTTATTTGTCAGTCTTTAATACAATGCAGCCTTTTTAGGCAAGGATTTAACAAACTGTCATGTTCTGATCAGGCTGTTACAAAAGCTGCCTAATAAAGAAGTTCAGTTAAGTTGCAAACCAGATTAGTAGCAACCTTGTTCTGGTGCTCAGGCCTTTGAATAAGGGTGTACTGTTTGCTGCAAATGAGAAGTGTGATCTTCTCTGCAAAAAGGGCTCAGGAATATACAGTGTCACTTAAAATGCATTGAAATGTACCCTCACCTTGTTACACTGATCCTTTGAGAGCCTGTGATAGCTTTAAAACTGCTTAGCTGCTCACTGATTATTTTTTTTTCTCATGGTAAATGGAATAGCTTCGGACCTCTGCAGGCTTCATAATAGGCAGCAAGTGAAATTCCTGTTTAATAGGTTGTTTAGGGCTTAATTTCTCCTCTGTTCTTAAGGGAATTGGTGTCTCTGAGAAAATAATTGTGTGCTTGATGAGGACAGAAACTGTATTGCAGTGGTCCAGCAACCTGAATACAATTGTGACACTATAGAAGTCACTGCAAGCAAATGGCCCTTTCAGAGACCTTACGTAACCAGGGCAGGTTTGGGTTTCCAGCAGCTCTGAGTTTGCCTTTTTGATTATCATCTGATGGGAGAGGAGGCTTAGGATTTCAGGCTCACAATAAACCTATTCAGGGCCACTCTTATTATTTTGAACAGTATCTGCAAAGTTCTCTTCATCTTTGGCTTTACTAAAAGAAACTATTTAGAGTTAACCAATAGCAAGGATCCAGGAATTATGAGCAGGGTATCAGTTTGTTTTGATAAGGAGCTCAGTTACTTTGGGCTCTGTCTAGAGCTCTTAAATGACCCTGTTTATCACTTCTTCATCACGGAACTTTTAGTACTTTCCATGCAAYCTGTTTGTGTTTTAAGAAGACTTCAGATTACTTTTAACTCATTTATATCCAGTCTGATAGAAATTCTAGCCTYGGGCATTCCTGCTGCAGTTACAGTTATTAAATGGATGACTTCACATTGTACTAAATCTATAACCTTTTTCCCTAGGTTCATTTGCAGAATAGGAAGAACGGAATAAAATGCTTCTCGATGGGAGAAGATTAGGGCTGGAAAAGCATGGAGATTTATTTTCCATGTGTTTTAAGGGGACAGCTAAGATTTTGCAAGTATGGGATCCTGATTGAACTGTGTCTGCTTCAAGAATAAGAACACAGATAGCAACTGTTTAGAAATAATAATAAAAAACCAACAAATGATGGAATGAAGGTAGATTGTTTTTTGAAGCTGTTTGTTCCTCTGTTTTCTCTTGGTGAGACTGAAATCTGTCTTGTTGATTGAAGGATCTGCTCTATGTACTTAACTCTCCCTGCAGATCTTCATCAGCAGGGTCATCTGTTTYGTGTTAAAGCTCTTGCAGTGTGTGCTGGTCCATCTGAACCCCTTGTGTTTTCCTTTTCTTTGTATGTGGGAAGGTATTTTTGTGTATTGCRTACACAAAATGGATAAATGGATATGTATGGATAAATACCATTAAACTAGAAGACTTCCAAAACTATTGTTTGCTTTTATTGCAGGAATGCACTCCAGAGAACCTAGACCTGAAAAAGAAGATTTTTGGTCAGTTAGATCTTATTGTTGATGACAACGTTATCCTGAGCAGCTCAACCTCTTGTCTCTTACCCACCAAGCTGTTCACTGGCCTTCAACACGTTAAGCAGTGTATCGTGTCACATCCTGTGAGTACCATGGCACCTCTGTTTGCATCCTAAGAGTGCAGCCGTGTAACTGTCTGCAGTCCAAGCTCTTCTCTGCAGACTGAAAGGCAGTGAAGGGTAWTTGAAGTGCTTGTGTCCTCGTGCAGTTCAGTGGGCCTCGCTTTTCAGGAGTGCTGTAGTCTGGTTGTTCTATGTGCAACAGCTAAACTACACTGAGAGGATGTAGGTATCTTTTGTACTCACTCAAGACATTGTACTCACACTCAAGGCATTTCAGTACTTCAGTACTTCAGTACTTCAGTACATTTCAAGACATTGTACTCACACTCAAGACATTTCAGTACTTTTGTACTCACACTCAAGACATTTCCCATGTAAGTCATTGTGCTTGTATAGCCGTTTGTTACCCAAACTAACACCCTTCAAAATGCAGCCTTTCTGTATTTTGGAGTCAAACCTATAAAACTCCCTGCTTTCCCTTATGCCACCCATTAGTTTTTTCTGGTGTCCTTTTGCAGCTGCTGTTGGCTATCAGTGAGGACCCAAACAGCAAGTTGCATTTCAGCAACTGCAGAACATAAGTAGTTGATGCAGATACAAGATGGAAGATTTTGGCTCTGGTTTCATCAGGCTTAGCCTGACTAAGCTTAGCCTTTCTCCTACCTAAGATTTGGTAGTCCTTTATCATTTATTTCTAGTGATAGAAATCATCACTACAAGACAGTACCAGAAGAGATACTGTCCCSTCTTCTGTGTTTCTCTGTTAAGTAGCTATGACCATAACTAAAACTTCATAGCAAATTATGGACTTCTTCCCTTTCTTGTTGATGTATCACCACGTTACATTACTSTTCCTTACTCTTTTCCCAAGTCAGTTGTATTGGTTGACATGTTTAGCTTGAGCTGCAGTCATTATAGGAGCCACTTCTGAAAGCATTTTTAACCTGATCTGGGAAGGTAGCTAGTCCCTCCATGAAGTTTCCACATTGATAGTTTAAGGATATATGTATTTCATGAGATGAAGTGATTTTTTTTTTCCTTAACACATCTAACTGTTCTGAAATGGCTTTGTAGTCTGATTGAGACCACTTTTTCAGAAACCTCAGCTTTACTCAGAGTTGAATTTGCTGGCAGACCTGGGAGCCAGTGTGCTGTTCCTGTATCTGCTAGTCTTGGTTTGCATTAGCTACTGCTTTTTGGTGTGTTTTGTGGGTGTGTTTTATTTATTTTTTTCTTATTTTAACTGTGACCTTACTAACATTTTGAAGAAGAGAGGTAATTTGTGGGGAGGGATATGGCTATAAGAAGTTATCAGCTCAGGAGGAAACCAGTGAAGAACCAGYGAAGAAACCAGTGTGAAGTTTGATATCTAAGAAAAAATAAGTTTTAAAGTCTCTCACACAGGTGAGGAAAAGAAATAAAATCAGATACCCAGTGGGCAGATGGAGCTTATCACTTTGCTTAGTAAAGCAATAGGCACATAGTAATTGGAAATAGTGAATGAAATCCAGCGGTGCAGCTGCGTGACGGAGCTTACAGGCACAGCTGTGCTCTGCCAGCACCTCCAGGCAGGGCATTGGTAGCACTCTGCTGCCCAGCAGCTTGTTTCTCATATCCTGTATAAACCTGCTAGGCCAGACAGCTGGAAAATGGAATTAAAGGAGGCTGTGCTAGTGAGTAAGTCCCTTGCTATGCAGGAATAATAAACAGATGATAAAATCACCTTCAAAATATATTGGGTTCTATTTGGTAGATTTTTTTTCTAACTATTGCTACTCCTAATGGAAGTTGTTTCTTTCTTGTAATTTCGATTTTCATCGTATTAATGGTCCATTAAAATTCATTTGATATTTGCTGATAGCTTGTTGCTTGTGTTTACTTTGTCATACCCTTCGTTAGCTCTCATTTTTTTAGGCTGAGTAAGATGAACTGTTCTCTTCCCTTAGGAAGGACTTTGCATTTCCCTTCTCATTTTAGAAACCCTCTCCTGCAACCTGCTCCATCTGCGTTTTTACCACTTTAAATTTTTAGYAAGGTGCATTATTCACTCCTGGAAAAGTCTTCCTCAGCCCCACAGTTTGCTCATTAGCACACCCAGGTACCCTTAGTGCCAAGCTCATGAAATAAAAGATTTCAATAAGATCACTGTCAAGAGCAGGCGCTCAGGAATTCATGCCCTGCCTCTCAACAGTTTGCTTGTTCTCTTCCCGATCCTGTGATATCCCTGTGGGTTAGAAGAGCCCTTGGAGAGTTCTTGGGGTCCCMCTGAGTGGCCTGGCGACAGTTTTGTGCCTAACTGCCCATGACACTGTCCTGGCTTTGGTGGCGGCGGTGCCGGAGAGGCCGAGCGAGAAGGGCTGTGCTGGAACACAAGGCACTTACAAGGCCCTGAAGTAACCGGGTTGCATGGAGCACTGCAACGGACATAACCTCGCTGCATGGAGCATTGCAGCAGACATAACCTCCCCTTAGGCTGGCATCCCTCAGTGCCTACAGAAAATGGGGTCATTAAATCCTGAGAAGAACAAAGACTCCTTGTGGTGACTAACTCCTGTATTTGCATTTACAGGAGCACAGTTCACAGAATCACAGGAGGGTTAAGGTTGGAAGGGACCTCTAGAGATCATCTAGTCCAGCAGGGACACCCAGAGCATGGGAGACAGGCTGGCAGCCAGGCAGGGTTTGAAGACCTCCAGAGAGGTTCAGGGAAGGCATCTGGCTCTAATGGGACATGGTGGAAGAATCTGTGCAGAATTACTGACGTGGGACGTGGTAGCCAGTCCTGGCACACACAGTACCTGTCTGCTGCCRCACACAGTGTGAGAGCTGTGTTGGAGACCCTGCAAATATGACATCAAGACTCTTGTTTTTGGAAAGAGCATGTCCTGCCCATAACCCCTAAGACCTAAAGAGCTTCCAGCAGCTTCTAGGACACTCTTTAGAACTCAAGAAGTTTAAGAAACTCTTTATTACTTCAGAAATATATTACACAAACATTTGGCTTTGAGGAGAAATTGCATTTGGGAGCAGCAAAGGAGAGAGAATTTTTTTCCCAGTGGCTTCAGTGTTTGAAGGTAGCCTGTTGTGTAATACTTGTGGGGAAGTATGTTTTATATAATATCTGGTAAGAGGATTAGCCTATGCTAGACTTGAGTTAGGAGCAGCTTATATCTGAGGTGTTGCATTTTACAGACAGTGTGTAGCAATGTTTTTGTTATAAATTTCCTGAATATCTGAAAGAAAATACKTGACTTGGAAAGAGATGTAGTGACTGTGTGTTCTACAAAAACAAACACTATTGAGAAAACGTCAGCTATGCAGTAAAAAGTCTTCTAGTATTGTTGGRCTGCACTGATATTTAGTTAGTAGTTTAGATATTTAGCTCAATGAATGTAATCATCCAAGGTGATATATTTTTTTATTTGAATCAACACTCCAGCTCTTATTGGATTGGTGAATGCTTTCTGAGCCTAGAGATCAGGCTTATGTGTTCCCTAACAAATACCCACACTATTAAAAAATTACAAAAATACTATACTAAGTTGGCCTGTTTATCTGGTAATGACTAACGTTCTGCTTTTGTGTCTCTTCTTGAGGTAAATCCACCTTATTTTGTGCCGTTGGTTGAAATTGTTCCACATCCAGAAACAGATCCTTCAACTATAGAGAGAACCTATGCCCTGATGAAGAAGATCGGTCAGTCTCCTGTCAAATTAAACAAAGAAATTGAGGGGTTTGTTCTGAATCGGCTGCAATATGCAGTGATAAGTGAAGCCTGGAGACTCGTGGGTGTACGTATAACTTTTTTCCTTTCTATGCACACATAGCCAGTTTTATAAACATGACCAACAAGATTTACATTTCCTGTAACATTATGACTTCTTTGTTAAGCAGTCCCTTATGTGCCTGAAGAATGAAAACAAACGTAAATTTACAACAGTAGCAAGTTTGGATAGTAACAAATAGAGAAGATTATGAAARGGAAAGTGATACGATGATAACGGTGTCCTTTATTCTGCTTTCTTTTCAGAATAGGACAACTGTAATTTTCAGGACAACCAAAAATAAAATGTTGACAGCACAGAAGTCAGAATGCTGTCGTTTTTTTTTCGGRTTGTCTTTTCATTTCTTGTTATTTTCTGAATGATACTGGCATATTTTATGGGGTTATGAAAATAATATTTTAAGTGAATTTGTCTTTTGCCTTTTAGAAGTTCTTATTTTCAAAAGTTATTTGATACTTGTAGGTAAAGACAGATTTCCCCTCCTCCTGCCCATTCAGACATCTAACTCAGAATCATCTGTTTGTGCCACTTCAGCTTTTCCCACAGCTACGTGTTTTGTGCTGCAAAGTCTGATCTTTCATCAAAAGAGCTGAATTGAGTCTGCTGTAATTCTGCTGAGATTAGTTTTAGGAGAGCTTTTTTTCTTTCCACAAAGAATGCTTTGAATTTTCAGGCTGTTTAAAACAAGCATCTACACACAAAACAATAGATACAGACATTAAAAAGAAAATTATATTAACATATCATAGAAAAAACCTCTTATTCCAAAGCAATACTGAACATGACTGCTGAACTCATTTTACTTACCTCTGGTTAACTATCATTAGCAATACTGTGCAATAATATAAAGTAGATGGTGAATAAGAACACATTAAGCCATCTTGTTAGGAAGAAACCGATCTTCCACTGAAGACTTTAAATTGGAAAAGGTTCTTTTTTAAAAATAATAATAAAATTAATAAGTGTACTGTAAAAAGAATCCCCCCAGAAAGCTGTAGTCATGTTGAAATACCCAGGATAGAAAGAACAGTARGTTATTTTTGAAGCCATAATAAGACTATCCAAAAAACATTTTGGGAATAACTTGCTAAAAACATGAAAGCTACTCTTAAAGAAATTGAAAAGAAGGTAAGTCCATAGAAAGAAAGCTAACTGAACTGTGGTGTTCACTTTGGATGATTTTAAGGAGGATCCTACACTCTAATCTTTTCAGAATAGGAAGGGATTGATCTGAGGAACTGTCTTATGCTGAAATAGGGCACGTCATGCTAAGAACAAAGATTTTTAGAAAAGAACAAATAAAATGAATAATAGCAAATTAAGAAAGTTTAGCAAATTCAAAACTCAAAGATGAAGTTGATGAAATATAGACTTAAGCATCTTTGTACACATCAATTAGCAAAACACCAAAGGGCTGGAAACACTTATAGCTGAGTTTTAATTTTTAAAAGTTGAAAGGATAGCTGAGTTTGATAATACATGGGTATATTAATGTGATATCTTGGGTCARTGTGAATATTGGGGAGATAATGCCTCAAACATCTAGTAGGATTCTTTTATGTCTCTGAAAGACATAWGGTAAATTGTGGAACTTGCAACCAAAGAAACCTGGAATGTTAAAAATGTGAATGGGTTCAGAGAATAATTAGACAGATTTATGGAGGTGAAATCCCCCGAGGGCTGGATGCAGGAGCAGCCTCCATCTCTCTGACTCCAGACAGCTGGGAGTTSAGAAGGTCTAGATATATCACTGGGAGTATCACCTGCTCCTGAATGGTCATAAGAATCCTCTGTGAACATCTGCCAGAAAGAGGCTATGACTTTTACGAGAGCCCATGCTCTTAATAACACCATTGATGTATACTTTTTGTGTGTGTCTTGCATGAATAATAACAAAATAGTGCCTGAAGCACTGACACACATAAAAGTTGCTTTCTTTGTGCTTCATCTAAATTTCCAAACTATTTTTTCTGTGTTCTGTTTTTGTATAATTTTACTACATTTAAAGCAAATGCACTTTAACAACTTTGATGACTTTATTTCCATTCCAAAAGACTAGATAAATCCCACTCTATCAAAGGTGCAGTTTCAGGTGTGCTATTTTGAGCTTAATCTTGCCTTTGATAGTAGGAGAATTGCAGTAGATAGGAGAGAGCTGCAGGCCTGAGGCAGTTTCTATCTTTCCACTACACTGCTGCCAACTTCTTTTAATGCAAGTGATGTTCTTTTGGTGTTTTGCACTTTCCAAATAGGAAAAAAAATATTTCTTTGTTCTGATTTTTAAGTCATTTCTCAATCTGTGTGGTTGAGGGGTAAAGCTTTGAAAATATCAGTGTCATCAACTCACAGTCTTTGAGAAGCTCTTAAAATTCAAGGTTTACTCAATCTGAGCACATCTTTCTTTCGTTGCTACAAGGGAAGATTCCCTCGTATGATTGTGGTAACGTAGCTTTCCTTAACCTAAGAAGCTCTGGGATGGAAGTTAAACTAAGAATGTTTGCAGTAGAGACCCAGCAGTACAACATTACATTTGTCCAAAATGACCATATTACTAATCCTTCTGTGGTTCAATATGTAAGTTACTGCCATTAGATCTGGCAATCTATGTCATGCTGGATGCAGAACACAGACATTCTTTTGAATTTACTTATGAATGCTTTAGTACTTTAATGCTAGTGATTGTGTATTACTTTTAACTGTTGTAAGGAGCAATGAAACAGAACTAAGAGACATAATTTCAAATTCACTTAATTTCTACTGGTTGTGAGGGTCTGAACATTATTTGTTTTATATTGATCAGTGATTCTATTTCTCTTGTAAGTGTTGTTTTTTTTTTTTTTTTAGTATTGGGAGTGCTTGGAAAAATTCACCTTGTTGATAGAGGACTGCTCTATCTGCACTGCATTGTATCAGTACTTGGTCATCTGAGAGAAATATTTTGAATACCAGGGCCATCTATGAACCAAGAGAGAAAAATAGTGGCAATCTTGAGAARTATTGTGAAGTTGCTTGAAATAATCTTAAATCAGCCCATTTGTGMAAGCAGCATCTGTTTGTGAGGATCTTGAGAAATGAGCTTGAATTCTCATCTAGGCTCTCACCTCAAAAATATTTATAATAATAGCAAGTGAGTGAACTTACACATGCTTATACATGCAGGTACAGCTGTGTTAATAATGTTTGCTTGGAAAAAACTTGTCAAGAGTAGACTGAGAAGCTTGTAGACCGTATTTTAGTTCCCAAATGTAGCTTGGCAGCTGATGACCTTTCAGCCCCTCTGTTTTCTTTGGCAGTGCTGTGTTGGGATGAATGATGTGTGAGGCCTGGGATGTGGGTTGTATGGTGGAAAAAGACCATATGACTGAGGTCTTCTGGGCTGTGACTATGGCATAATARTTTTGGTGGGCACAATTTGAATACGAAACGCTACAGAGAGCCAGAAGTGCAGTCCTGAAACCTCTGTCACTTGATGGGAATGAAGGCCAAGGTGAGGCCCTGCGAGCAGCTCTGGGAATGCAGGACCGGGCCAGGCTTGGGAATGGGAAGGGGAGTTGTAGGAAATTAGGAGAATAAAGGCTGGTTTAGAAACATACAGTTAATGTAAGGAGGAGGATTTTTGCTGTGTGGATGTTTCGGAATGTGGTTTTAAGAATGCACAAGTTTGACTTTTAACTAAATACTTAAATACTCTTAGAAGTATTTAGAAGCAAAAGCCATAGTTTGATTTATGGGTCTAAAGGAAGGAATTTGAGAAAGTACTCACTCACCTTTGAGGCAAGAGGACCAAAATGAGATAGTTTGTGTTGGATCCAGGTTGATCTTTCATGTGACAAAATGTCTTTTCTAACATGATTTTGACTTACAAGTTACTGTAGCACTCTGGCAGTGCTGGTGTTGATGGCAGGAAATTTTTGCATCAGTTATCTCTGCCTCTCCATATTTGTGCCATGAATAAGTAGATACTGCAGACACTCCAGTTGTATAYTCATCTGTATATGTCTTTAAGGTCATATGTCTGAGAACTTGTTGCAAGAAGTTCAYGTAGGAACATCTAGCTTAGGTGAAGCTGAAGTTCTTGTAGTTTTTTTATTCAGGTTTTTAATTCCTCCATTTCTGTTAAATTGTTGTAATGTTGATTATGATGAGAGTAGGAGACTTACAGCAAGATACTGAGCCTGAAGATCCATATACCTGATACTGATAGTCTTCATGACACTAAATTTAGTTATTATGCTTATCCTCTTCATTTGCCTAGAAAGCACCCTGCACCCTACTTATATGATTGCTTTGGCAGTAAATCCCTTTTGCAGAATCTTAACAGTACAAGAACATCTCTTAGTAGCACAGTATTAGTTTGCAAAAGAGAATTAATAAATAGCTGGAGATAAATAAATTCTGAAGATCCCCTATAAAGTTTCAGTTGACTCTATTCAGAAGGTAACAACCAAACCATTTCAGTGCTGCCCTAGATGAAAAGTTTCAAACCTTATTTTGAACATCTCTGACTATCCTGTTACTGTTGATAGCTGTCTGGACGTTTAGCTGGGGGAAATATTTTTCTAAGTATTGTGGGAAATTTTTGCAAGAAGGTCATGAAATACAGCAGTGGAAGTAGGCGAGGAAAATACAGCAGTTCTTCAGCCCTGATCTCACTTAGGAGATTCACTGCTTTTGTGAACCTGCTGAAAGTATTTTGTGTGTTGTATCTTCAGTATTTGTCTTAAGATTCAGTGTTTTCTTCTGCTTTYGATGCCATTTTAGTATATCTTTAAAACTAGATTTTCTTGTGGATTGTAGAGATTGTGAAAGATCAGAAGAACTGGCAGCTCTACCATTAAGGATGTGGGTTTTTTTGGTTAAACTTTTGGAAAATAAGGAGTCATGACTTGGTTATGTGTCCATTTTTGTTCATTTTCACAGCAATTATTTATGAATTGCTGAAGCAATTGGCTTCCATCCCTAGCCTATGCACCCCTCCCTTTTCAGGTGACCAGCCTGGCAGTCCATAAAATTGGCAAGGCTTTTGCTTCCAAAATCATTATTGTTATTGTACGTAATGATAATATTTGTATTATAGTGTTATCCGGGGAACCCCTACTAAAGGTGAAAGATAAGGTAGGAGTTTAGCAATCTAGTTAGGAAGGGTRTTCTGTTCAGGAGAGATGTCATTAAAGGAAGTTCAAAGAGGCGGGGAGAAAAACTGTGTTGATATCAAGTGTTTGTTACAGGATGAGGTGAGTGAGGATGTCATGGAGGAGGGTAATACAGGTCAGGAAGGTAAGGAGGTGGGAAGTGAGGAGGTGTGGGACAGGTTTCTTGAACATGATGAAATGGAAAGAAACGGAGTTCGTTGAGGGATCTAGGAGAAAAGTCATTTGCTCAAAATGACAGGACAGCAAAAGATCTCATCAGGGTGTGTGTTGAAGGGACTTGATCCAAATGATAGGGAAGGGCATAACAAATGCTGCTAAGAGATGATTAGCAGTGAACAGAGGGGAAAAAGAAGTTTTGATCTTGCAGATAGATGTTATAGAGGATAAAGTGGCAGATTTGGAGGCAGGAATTGTGTGGTCCAGGAGGGAAGTAGAATCCAGACTAATTCYGTGCATGGGCTGGAGTGAGTCTGAGAATATGATGAGCTGGCAATGCCAGAAAGAAATTGTTTTTTTGGCCATGTCACGTTTAACATGATTACAAGGCACTGTCAGCAACAGAAGAGGAGATGTGAGTGTGACTCACAGACGTGCAGATTGTTCATTAAAACCAAGCAAGTTGGTCAGGTCTTAAAGGTGGAGACTGCAGAACCTCCATGGGCTTTGCGAAGGAGAAGAGGCCCCTGCACATGAGAGTCACTGACAAAAAACAGAGGAGACCTTGGGTTGTGGCCCCAGAGGAGATGAAAATCTCTAAGGAGATATCACAAGCAGCCTGGAAGATCCCAGTCTAACCTAAGTCTTGCACTTTGGCCATCGAAATCAGTGGGGATTTTGGTGCAAATTGTTTTAAATTTCCCATAGCTATAAAAGTCTGCTTCCAGTGAGCAAGGTTTTGACCCTGACCATTTGCTCWTCTCTGTGAAAAGTGCTTGAAGGAAGGCTTATAAGAATGGCCATGCAGAATGAAAAGATTGAAAACTCCTCTTGGAGGGGTTCTGTTTCATGCTAGACTTAATGAAATGATGGGAAGTTTCTTTTTTTTATTCCTTAGCATAAATGCAAATCCTTACGGAAGACTCCTTGCTAACATCACACATTCTCTGAAGCCTTCCACCACCATATTCCTTAATTACCATTCCTTAATATAAGTGGGAGTAAAGCTGTTCCCTAAGGGAAGACCATTAAAGTTGTTCCTAATTTATGTTTTTTTTTTTTTTTTTTTTTTTAAGTTCTGGAGATATAAAGTAACAGACTTTTGTTTAGGAGAGTCTGTATGACAAGGAGAAATTGGGCCCACATTTGTAGAACAATATGAGACCTCAACTGAAGAGGGCTGTCGTGATCTTTCTTTCTGTTGGCACTAATTTTTGTCTTTTAGCAGCTGGAGCCATAAAATTAGTGCTGTAGCCAAAGGRCCAAGAGCAAAGCACTCAGCCTGTGATACTCGAGGCAGCTGATCTTCAAATGCTAGCATTGAAATTGAGGATTACAGTGTCAAAAGAAATAAATCATTTATTTGAAAAATTAATTTGCTGTGTTTAAGTGTTTATAAAGTCTTCTCTGAGTCTATTAAATCTTTACTGTTATGTTTACAACTTTTATGTACTGATGTGGTTCAAATGCTTGTCTAGAACATGGTTCTTAGCGTGAAATTTTGCCCACAAATCCATGTGAGTCAGAAAAAAAGGCAAAAAATCACTCATGGAGCGTGGCTTTATCACCATAATCCAGTGCCCCAATGAAGCTCTTCCYACAGAAGAGGACTCTTGTTGACTCAGTTTGTGTTGTTCAGATAAGTTGCATGGCCTTGTCAAGGGAAAAAACTCTTTAATGGAACATATGGAGCTTGTCTTAGCCCTGATGGCACCAGTTCTGTAATCTGAGCACAGTCTGGGGCTTCTTTTTTGCTTCCTGCCCTTACGCAGACCTTTCGCTCTGCGTTTACACAAGTCACTTGACTGTTCCCCTGCCTTACTTCTAAGTTTCAGAAAACAGGACTTCCTTATCCCTGCTGCCTTATGTCTAACTGAACTGTTACCAGAACTGTGTTTTCCAAATATGTTGGCTACATCTTAGTATCATCGCGCCCTTTCAAGACAGAGTTCAGAAAACACCTGCAAAAGTGATTCAGCCAGACTTATTTTTGATTGATTGACRCCTACCAGCAGATTAAGGTTTGGGACTGAGTCTTTTAAAAGGCTCTGTTTAAGGCTGTGATGGTGAAGTGTGGTTTCTGTGACCAGCTGTAGAGGTTGTGTTGGTYCTTCACTTACGATTTTCTTTTGAAGTACATTTTGGAGTTTGTGTGGTTGAGAAACACAAGGAGGCAACATGGGTGGGATTCAGCTCGGTTAAATTGAGATTTTTACAGAGTGAACGTAGACATTCAAGCTCCACATTCTAATCATTCATCTAGTGAGAAGAATTAAGGTCTTTTAGGACAAAACCCTTCTGACCTGTGCTTACTTTAGGATGCCCGTTGTCTTTTCCTTTGTARTGATAATAGAGACCAAATATCTAGGTTAACATGTTGGTGATAAGGAATATTCTATGCTGGTTGCCCATAACTTTGGTAGATAACTGAGTTATGAAGGGAACRTGTCAGACTGGATCCTAATAGAGGGAAATCTGTGAAAGAAAAAGTCCTCTCTTTGGCCAAGCAGATGAGTATGTCTGCTCAGAGGGCATTTGTGGAGAAGAAGACACTGAGAAGGCAGTAAGGGGAGGGTTTTTGTCTYGGCATGGGATAAGAAGACAAGTAGAAGCTGTCTCTGTAACCATCTTAAGAAACAGAAGAAAATATTGTTATGTCCCTCGGGATAAAGAGGACAACTTCGTGAAACAAAATTTTGTGATAGAAGTGGTTAGAACAAGTATTATTTTGTATCTCTCAAATAGGTGGAAAATCAGCATCGTAGATTAAAGATTCTTCTTCTCAAGTAGAGCTGCACATTAATGAACTGTAACTCTTTCTTGCAAGTCTTCTCATTCTTGCCCAAATGTGAACTTGTTGGAGGTGTTGGCCTTCTCGTCATTGCTGCCTTGTAGGCGTAACGGGAGCGCTCAGCTCTGACAAGAAAAAGTCTTCATTTTGCATATTCCATACCCTGCCAGTTCTGAGATTTGAGGCTAGCGATGAACTCAAGAACCTGGGCAGGTTGAGGCTGGGTAGGTTGAATGTTTAATGAGTTATTTGCTACGGAGTGCTGGCCCTGTGTGCTAGGTCGGCCTTTTTGGGGTCAACTTCTGCAGGTGGTAGGTGCTTCTGGGGCAATCCAGGCCTCTTGGGCTGCCCTCCTGTCAGAATAATGGTTCTGTGCTGGAATCAAGAACTAGGAGACTATGAAGGGAGTCAGAACTTAAATATTTAAGAGTGCTGGTACAGTACTTGCGTTTTCCTCAAGCTGTTTTGTTCGTGTGTTATTAAGACTGCCACGTTAACTCTGTCTTCTTGATTCTCAGTTTCTAAGGAAAAAAAATGTATATTGATAAATCAATTTAATTCTAGTAACACGAATTATTATAACTGATAAGTATCAGGCCAACTAGCAGGTACAGCTAGTATAGATTAAATGCAAACTAAATTGGCATCTACCCTAAAATATACATAYAAAATATTGTCAAAGTATAATTGAGCTCTAAAGCACAGCATTCCTATGRATGTATTAAAAAAAAGATATGCCAATTAGTTTACATTAGTGGTGGTGATCTGCTATTTTTTGGTGGTTTATGCACTAAACCATCGCAAAGCTGAGATAATAGGTGCACATTTCTGGCAAACAGTTATGTTCTTGTTTGCAAACTAATTATTTCTAGCTTTAGTTTTTATTGCCTCTTAAATTTAACTGAAATTATAGGAGAAGTCAAGCAGTTTTGCATTAAAACTTAGCATTGACAAGTTTTCCTATTCTACTTTTACTACTTAGGAAGGAGTAGTATCTCCTACTGATCTAGACCTTGTGATGTCTGATGGATTGGGAATGAGATACGCATTTATTGGACCTCTGGAAACCATGCATCTTAATGCAGAAGGTAGGTAGTTGAAGGTGAATTAAATACGAAGGGAAGGTTAATTTTGCATGAAAAATTGGAAATGTACAACAGAACAGTTTTGGATTGCTGTAGCTATGACATTTTTCCGTACTTTATTGTAAAGAGGAGAAAAGGCCAATTATCTAGAACTTGGAAAATGGAAGGATCAGTGGATGAAAGAGATTGGATATAACTGTCTTTTTATAAGTGATCAGATTAGAGTTGAGATCTTAATACTAGCCATGTACTCCAGACTTCCAAGATTTCCCTCCCATTTCCCATTGCAAACATTGCTGTACACAKAGTTTGGGACTAACTGATGATCAGGTAAAGAAAAACAAGTTCATATGACAATCCAGTGTGAACAGAAGGTCATTTTCTCTAGGTGAAGTGCCTTTTCGCAGAAGTTGGAGGTAAGGCACAGTGTGGATGTGGCTGGAGYTTCCTTGCATGGAGATGCTTTAGATGCTGGGTACAGTGAGATCACTTCTGTGCAAAACACTTTGCCTACAAAGATGAATTAATTCAAGTAAACAAACAATAAAATATCATCCATCTTGTACTGTAATCAAGACGTATTTTAGATGTTTTARGGAATTGTATGTATTAAACCCAACTAAAAGTTGCATAAAAGCAAATCAGAAGTTCAGGTGAAGGCTACAAAGGTTTAAGCAATATGTTTAACAGAACATGAAAACTTCTCAAGAAGTGAACATCTATCAGGTGCATTTTTAGCTCTTTTTATTGTGGGGTCTTTCTTTATTCTTTTCGTATGTATGCTCCCTGAAATGATGAGCCCTTGGTCTTTTAGGCACTGCAGTGATATATAATAATAGAGTAATAAAATAACAAGACATCAAGGTAATAAAACATCAGTCCACAGTTACCTGTCATCATAAAACATCAAGGCGCAGTGTTACCTATCCCTGTTTTTTGGCTAGTCACCTGGCAGAAGTTTATCTTATGTCTCTTAAGGCTGACTGGTCATTTTTGGCATGAATGTGGGATCATGGATCCTCTACCTGGGTCTTTTAGCTTGTCAGTTGAATTGCATACCAACAAATTAAATGTCAGAAAGTGTTTGCCATTGTGCTTTGCTAGGGAAACACCAGCCATCCTCTATGCAGGGGYATCTTCCTAAGGTTTCCTCTTCTGATCTATTGATATGTTAGAGTTTTCTGGTCTTCCCTAGTGATTTTTGACTTGCTCAATATAAAGCACATACATTCTTTAGATAGAATGAAAAGATGCATGAAGCCCAAGCCTTCAGCGCAACAATCCCCCCGGAGCCTTGCGGGCTTGGATTGTCGAATCCTGCTCCTGTTGCTCCACTAACCTGCTGCTCTCTGCAGGAACTTTCCAGAAACAGGTTCTCCCCATGCAGGATGTAGGAGGTTTGGGAGCTACACCTTGATGCACAGTGTCCAAGAGGCATTTGCTTGTGTTATGTGCAGCTCTGAAGTAACCTTTTCCTGTAAGAGTTAATGGCTAATGGGGTTGTATATCACTGAGCACTTTGTGGATGTGCTGGGACCTGGACTTGTAAATAAGAATAGAGAGTGGACACAGCTGGGAAGAAAGGATGGATGCTAATTTGAAGAGGTGGTGTGGAATGGYAAAGGGATTGTGAAAGCTGGTTGGATTCCTCATTTGGGTAAGCAGATATATAAAGAGAATTGGGGGAATGTTTAGCTTCATATTCCTAATCCGATGCAATTTRTTTCTTAAAAGGTGATACCCCAGCATATTTCTAAAGCTTTAGAGATTCTAAGGCCCATGCATCTTCATCTAGCTCATCTAGTCTGACTTTCTCATTTAGTTAAAATAATTTGGGTGTCTGGGTTTCTAAATTGGTTTATGTTTTGTAATTAACAGCTATTTCAGTCTCCAGGTGATTAGTAACCCTTTAGGCAAACATCTGGTTCCAGGGAAGCTGTTTAAGTGTCCAGTGAGAAGATAATCTCTCCAATCTGAATTGAAAATAGGAAAGGGGAGGTGAYGGTGTCTCGGCTTGAGCATTATATCATGGTGAGCCTGCTGTTCTGTTCAGAGCAGTGTGCTGAGCTGCCTCTGCTACAGCTTAACAGCARGAACAAAATGCTTRTTGATGCCTAAAGGTTGCAAATCARTTTCAGAGAACAAGTCAAAGGTGCAAAGGGTAGGACTGACATGAAATATCACAGAAATACCATGTTCCATTCACTTCCGAGAGGACTGAAGAAAGCAGCTCATGGCACTTGTAGAACTGCAGTTCTRGAAGACCCAGACTATGGAACTGATGCCAGATATGAAATTAATCTACATATTAATTCAGTGTAGTTCCTTGATCCATAGGATCCTGCTCATAGCAGTCCTGCATAAGTTTTGTGCATCATTACGCAGATACAGAGACAGAGAGAATAAAGCTTTTTTTTTTCTTTTTTTCTTTCTTTTTTTTCTTTTTTTTTCTTTTTTTTTTCTTTTTTGGTGGTGCCACTGGCTTAGGGTAGTAGAAGGAATTCATGTAACCAAAGTTTAAGTGAATTCATATGGGCATTAATGTAGAATAGCAAATGTCCTGTGAATTCACACCCTAACTACGTGCATGCATCTGTGCCAAGACACACCCTTGATAAGGACRAGATTACATTTAGAAAGTTTTCCTCATAGCTGTAATGTCTAGAAATATAATTTCCCTATCAGCAAACCAAAGAGGCTGGGATTTTTTTCCTTTGAACATATCCTAAACATGACAAATTCCTCCCTGGTGTTCCTGAAATAYGGCCCTTTTTTCCTGTTCTAGTCCCTACTCACCTGCAGTCTTACTGAGTGCAACATCTTCGTTTTTACCTGCTAAAAACAACCCCACCCCGGTCTTTTTGAGCCATTGATGCTGTTACATCAGTGGCTTGACCATCTTATCTGCTCTTTTGACAAGTCATTACAGTGTCTTCTGATTATGCTGCTCATCAGGTTGCAACTTGTCAAGTTAATACTCCATATTATGAGGCACCTTCTGTCCTCCGTGTGTTGCCCATCCTTGCCAATAAAACTTGCCTCTCTGACACGTTTTTTTTTCTCTCGCAGATATCTCGGTGCCTTCCTTGTGTGCAGGGTTGTTGTCAGACTGGTTTGCCAAGTTCTCTTGCTCCCATCCTGCAGCCCTTGTGCTTGTTGGCACTGACAACATAGCAAACAAGAAACCAACGTATCTGGAGATGATTACATAATGTAATACATGACCACAACACCATTTGTCTGGTCAGGTTTTCCCTCCTTTACCATGCTCCTCCCGTCACCTTTATGTTTATGACCCTCCCTTGTGCTTCTGTGATTCTGAAAGCAGTAAGGGATTTTAGGCACACTCCTAAGCCAAATGTCTGTCCCGAATTACTTCTCCTTTCCTTTATCAATGCCCTGTTTCACTTGATGGTGCAGCTAGAGACATTTCACTGATACTTGGGTTTGCTCCGCACCCGTGCAAGTCTTTCAGGTAAGGCCCTGCAAGCTAGAAGCATGGTTATGTGAACAAATTCTTGTGGGACAGGCTGAGATGCAGGTTTACAATTCATTAGCTGTCTTGAAAACTGCCTGGGCTCTTACTCAAGCTAAGTGTGCAGTAGTTTATTTCTCCTTCAGTGGCAGCATAAGAAAGCCTTGCATTTCCTATTGGGCCAGATGCACATGGATAGCAAAAGTTTTAAATAATACCCTTTTCTGGCTTGTGATAACTTGTTCTTGTAGCTATAGTGCACCAGCCAGAAGCACTGGGAGGCATTCTGACAGTCAGGGAAGTTAGCGTGTTTCCCTTTTAATCCCCATAATCCCATGTCTACTGCTCCATTCATATTCTTTGGTATTCATTGCTCCTCCTCCTCTCTCCGCCTTTGATGTAAACACATGTGATGGAGGAAACGTTTAGGGAACTCCTGCCAGTCCTGGAGACTTTTCTTTCCTGTGGTTGTGGTTCTCACGAGCTTACTGCCACTGTCCCCTTCTCTGTCTTCCCCCTGCAACATGGATGAGACAAATGTGCAAGGAAGAAGGAGGCTTAGAGGGCAGCAGAAGGCCATATGGACAGGAGGAAACTTCTCATCATCCAGGTGCTGGCAATTGTRTCCCATCTTTCTCTACTGCAGCCCCATTTTTTTTTCTCCTGGTTTCTTTAGTTGCCCTGTTTGTCTTTAGCACTTTACAGATGCCAATTCTTCCAGCTAAGGTTGCTGCCTGAGCTGTTAATTATTGCTAATTACTGTCTTGTTTGCTTTTCATCTTCTTGCTCCAGTGCTCCAGGCAAGTGCCGATCATCTACCATTGCTCTAATCCTGACCTTTGAACTAAGAATCTCAGGGGTCTACAGACTTGGAGTCAAATATTTGCCTATTTTGAGTCTACAACTGAAAAGCAAGGTGACTTTTCTATCMGCATTCCCTGTTGCTTCAGTGCTGCCTTGAAGCTGGCAGAATAGGGTTAATCTTGAATAATTAAACTAAGTTAAACATTACCGTACTGTCCCTGCTTAGACTTCACACTGGAGGAATCTATTTTGAATTAGCTATTTTGAAGTCAATCTTTTCATCTCTAAGTGGGACCATGTGTATATTCTAGTTACATCCTTCACTTAAGACTTGGAAGTATTTTGAATGCAATGTCCAGCCCCTGTTTGCTATRCAAGGTGGGGATTGCATGTTGCCATTTCAGCCCCAGTGTTGGGGTGAATTATACTGCCCCTCTCCAGCCACATAACATTTTATTTTTTTGACTTTTCCTGTTTTGATGACTTTGCAGAAAGTTTCTTTCTATTCACACATTATGTGCAAGGACTGAATTGCATCACCCAAGCCGCACCGGCACGTTTCTCTTTCCTTGGTGAGATACATTACCCAGAAACTGCTCTGTGACTCACACAAGGGTTAGGAGAGCTGAGGGGGCAGTTTATGTTCCAGGACTAGCTGTGAGGGCCGTCTTAAGCTGAGGAGTTCAGAGTCACCAGGCAAATGGGCCAGCTAAGCTCAAACGTT